AAGATAACTTTTGAGTGGGGAACAAATAAGGTATAACAATGTATTCAATGGTCAGTATAAGAGCATTAAAACACACAAAATGTATCTTTTCTAATAAGACATCTAACAAGAATGTTACAATTACAATAGAGCAGGGGTAGGCAATCTTGGCTCTTTTATTACTCGTGGACTTCAACTCCCAGAATTCCTGAGCCAGCCATGCTGGGAGTTGAAGTCCACGAGTCATAAAAAGAGCCGAGGTTGCCTATCCCTGCAATAGAGACATGATAAAAGCATCTTAAAAGCACTCAAGATAAATAAAGCTCAATCTTTCCTATAATGTTTATATTTCTATTTTTGATAAGGAGTAAAAACACATAAATATGTAGTGCACTATCCAGAGAATTTTAATATTGGATTATACATAAATATACAGGTAGTCCTTGACTTACAACCACAACCGAACCCAAAATTTCTGTTGCTAAGTAAGGCGTTTGTTAAGTAAATTATGCCCCATTTTACAACCTTTCTTGCCATATTTGGTAAGTGAATCACTGCAATTGTTAAGTTAGTGACATGGCTGTTAAGTGAATCTGGTTTCTCCACTGACTTTGTTAGAAGGTCGATCACATGACCCTTGGATGCCACAATAATCATAAATTTTCATCACGTGACCATGGGGAGGCTGCAACAGTCATGTGAAAAATGGTTATAAGTCACTTTTTTCAGTGCCTTTGTAACTTTGAACGGTCACTAAACAAACTGTTATAAGTCGAGGACTACCTGTATGCATAATTTTATAACATAAAACCGATGAAGATAAAAGATATGTGAAGATAAACCCACTGTATTTAATAGTGTTCAGATTAGGGTGGAATCCATTGCTGGTTTATAATTTTGAATATCATAATTGAGATTCACTTCAAAGAGGAATATAGCCTTAATTGACTTTAATGAGATATATAATAATAACGCTCTCACTAGGTTTATTACACAATTGCAGTTGTATTTTAAACAACTTAATGATGCACTGTAGTGCTTTGTAAGCCATTTCAAATAAATGTGTTCATAAAAATGAAACAAGGATTTTCATATAACTATAAATAAATACTTATTTAATTATATAACATTCCAGATCATCGGATACTCGTATTTCTGAATATTTTACATATATTGTAGTTATGCTGCCTGGAGTTGTTGGATAGTTAGCCGTAAAACTAGTTTGATAAATAAAATAAGAAATAATCAGAAGAGAACAGAAACAATTAGCTATTAAATAGTTAGGGGACAAACCACTCAGTGTTTCGGAGGACAAACGCCATAACAACCAACATGATGTTACTTCACTACTGGATGGGGCAGAAATTTACAGCTAGCATTTTCTATAGTTTTATGGATTTTTCAATGATTTTTAAAATGTCTTTAAAGGTTTGGATAACTTATGTGGTCATTTACCACACTTCTCTTTTTCCATTTCCTGCTGCAGATAATAAGGAATTCTACTCTTTTGGAGACATAATTTCTGAGGCCAAACAAAGGGCATTCAAGGGCTAGATATTTTGTTTGTTTGTTTGTTTGTTTATATGCTGCCCATCACACAGAAAGGTGCATCTGGATGTTATAAGTATATAGATATGGTAGATATGGGCCCATATCCACATAATGGGGATGTTGGTCTTTACAGCTTTTACTGAAGGATTGGCTCATACTTTTTGCTTTGTGTTAAATCCTTTCACAATACAGTGTTTCTACAATAATTACCATGCACAGAATCCCTATGTTTAGAGGTATTATGTCAAAAGTTAAGGAGAAAATATTGACTAGACTATCTCAGTGAATCTGGCTGCCAGAATTAAACCATAAAAAGCAAAAAATGTTACCCTGCGACGAAACAGCAAAACCTTCAGAGATTTTTTTTTTTTAATGAGCCATGCCTTTGTTAGAACAAGCCATAAGGTCACAAAACAGCATGCAAGCTTTTGAGCCCACTGGGATTGGGAAAGAAGCAAAGACACTCCAATATGACCACTGAAAATGGTTGGATAGTTCATATCTCAGCACCTCTGAACTACCAGTGAAGGCACTGGTTAATTACTTCATTTATTATTATATTTCTATCACCAGGAACAAGAGCAGGGCCAGACATTTTCTGCTTCTGAAGGAAAAAGCTGATCCCTTCCTGGGACCACACTTGGCATAAGTAAGCCAATTGGATCTGTGATAGAGTCATTTCATTATTAGGCTTAGTAAGACTACCACAGAAATGGTAGCCAGCTAGCTTTTCTCTTCTCAGGGCCTTCACTATTTATCTATAGATCAGGGGTTCCCAACCAGGAGTGCTCATACCCCCTGGGGGCGCGAGACGATATTCCAGGGGGTGCGAAAACTTAGTTTTTCAAAATTATAGTGCTTATGCATAATTTGTTGCTGTTATTACAAACTTTTGTAAGGGTATGAGAATATATCAGGAGCATTCTAGGGGTGCGGGATATAGAAAAGGTTGGGAGCCGCTGAAGTAGTTATAAAGGGAGGGGAGTATATTTTGGTCAGCACCAAAGAGTCATGTCCCAGATCTTTTAGACTATGTATACGGGGACCATGCTTTCCTACATCTTAGGGAGCAAAATATTTCAGCTCCTTTAGGAGTTGAACTTTAAAGACAGGCAATATGAGAGTATTCTAAGGTGGTGACAGGCTAACTTAAAGTAATCTGGGAAAGGTTTTTTTTTAGTGGAGTGAGCTTAGTTCCCTTAATACAGAGGTTCCCAAACTTTGGGACACCAGACTGGTTGTGTGGAGAGAGGGGACAGGAAGGGGCGTGGTTTTGTGTGCTGCCTGCATCCTGCAGATGGGGCTTTGCTTGTTTGTGCAACCCAGTTGCTGGCATGACGTGGCCCGGTACCGGTCCACGGACCAGGGATTGGGGACCCCTGTCCTAATACATTTATTATTTCTTCTGGTATGCTACCTGAATACAGGTATAATAATACTTAATAAAGCAACAGCTACATAATAGTTCACTGGGTTGTCTGAACCCAGTCATTTTGGTTTATGGCTTAATGTGCTTGATAAGTCAGACTTAATTGTGTTTAATTCTGTTTTAATATGTGTGTGAACCTAGCACTTATTTCTGTTATCAATGCATGTTTGAACCAGAGGCCCAGTTATCCATTGGTAATAACATTTTGATTTTATCTATCAAAGAAAACACCAAGAAAGTCTGGTTGCCTTTTGGAAAAAACAACTTTGGGCCAACCATGTCTTAGATGATTGAGAATCTCTATAGGCAAGGATTGTATTTATAGTTAATGTATCTCACTGTTTTCATTTTTAATGTTCATTTTCTGAAAATATATAAAACAAAGGTAAATCCCCTAGGATCAGTAGGATTTAAATCTAATATTGTATTTATGACTTTCCCTCACTTTCATTTAATAATGGCACAAACATGACTGGCAACATCTTTTTTCTGCCATATCTCTGAGGAATGTCTACATTCCATTCCCAACCCATGAATAAGATGTTCAGCTGGATAAACAGTATCTTCTTGTTATACTGTCAAGGTCCTAGGGAAGCTTTAAGATATAGGCTTTGTCACCTATTGCCTTGGAGAGAAGTCAGGTGACTGCATGACTTTGAAACACAGACAGGATAGGACTCAGCAATGGAGAAAATAGTTGTTGGGCTGCTGTCATTTTTTTTTTTCTGATTAAAGACTACTTGGACTTAACAACCAGGAAAAACTCTTAGAAATGTAGTTTTAGGCTAAAAGTTACTCTTAGGATATTTTTTGGGGGGGAATATAGAACAGCAAATCATATTGTATGATCTCACCAGCAGATGTAGTCATTGCATACAGAAACATAATTACATTCAAAATATTGCTCAGAGTTAAAGTCTCCACCTCAAACACTGAACTAGGAAGAAAGTTCTATTCAAATCAAAAGAATACTCTAAGAAGTTAGCTGTAATTATGGAAACAGAAGCCTAAGGAAAATATCTATTTATATTTATTCCTGGGGCATCCTCTTCCCCACTTCCCAGCACTTTGAACTTTTTGCCACCATAATCAAAATGAAGCACTGTCAGATAAATTAAATTTACTGGATGAGAGTGCTTTGAGTGAAAACAATGCTCAGTGAGACACCAGTTTTATAAACTGAAAGTACTGGCTTTATAAACTGAAAGGGTCTATCTATCTATCTATCTATCTATCTATCTATCTATCTATCTATCTATCTATCTATCCATATACAGTTTACATGTATATAGGATTTGTTGCCACATCTCAAAGCACAGAGTAAGTAAATTAGATACACATTGTTAGGAAGAAAAAGTGCTTTTAAATGTAAGTCCTAAAGGCAGTAAAGCAAAACATTAGCCCTCTATTTTTCTTCTACATGTTTTATATAGCATCCAATAACTCTTCACCTAAGCACAGCTATCTTTCCCTACTACAAATCTATAGATTGGATGAGAAGACTTCAATCTACAAAAAAAGAAGAGAGTATTTGGATTTTACCAAATCCTCTTATTTGTGCTTCTCCGGTAAAAAGGGAAGGGAAGCCTGCATCCCCATACCATTTACCTAGGAGTAAACTCCATTGAAATCGACAGGATTATCTTCCCTCCCAAACAGAGCAGTACTTCTCCTTAAGGCTGAAATACGTTCTGCTCAAAATGCAAGCGAGGATTTTAATGAAACGTAACAAAAGGTTAATCCGGTTTGGCAAGGAGGGCAGGGAAGAATGGCAAATCGAGAATCTTAAGTCCCACTAGCCGGATAGACACTTGCTCCGAAGTTCCCCCGGCAATTCCTTTCAAAAGTGGGATCCTTCCCAAGCGTAGCTGCGCTCCAAATAGGGACCGAAGCGGACCCAGGTTCGGTTCTGTTTGAAGAACTTTCCTGGGATTTCGCCAAAGGAGTTTCTAGCGTCCACCGCCTACTACTAAGAAGGAGCTCTGGGAAGCGGCGGAGATTTTCAACGTCTTGCAAAAGCGGCGCCTGACAAGGGACTTACGAAGACTGGTCGGGGGCGAAGAAATCCACCGCGAAGCCGAAGTAGCTGCCGTCGGAACCCGAGTATACAGTCGGGCTCTCCGCGTCCAGGTTGAAGGCGTACCCCGGCGCTAGCAGGAGACCGGCGAAGAGTAACAGACAGAGCGCGACCATAGTTAGCCCAGGAATGCCCAGCGGATGCCCCAGGGAACCGTGGAGGGAGAGAGGGAGAGAAAAAAAAAGAGAGAGAGGAGGAGGCGGATCTTCCCGGATTTCTGATTGCCGCCGCCGTTCCCCCTCCTCCTATCCGATGCCCAGCAGCAAAGCGCCGCGGCAACGCCGAGCAGTGGCGGCGGAGGGAAAGAAAAATAAAATTAAAAAAAAAAAAACCCACAATCACCCGACGTGTCCTCCGATGGACTGCAAAAGACTCCTAGCCGGCGGGGAGCTCAGCACTTCCTTTTTGTTTTGTTCCCTATTTCCCCAGGACGGGTACGAGGACGTGGGCGGAGAAATCAGTAACCTCCGTCGCCAGCCTAAGCGAGGTCGATCCGCCCCTTTCGTTTCCAAAGAGAGGAGGAGGAGGAAGAGGGGGAGAGGAAAAGAAAGCGAAGGAACGAAAAGCGTCGCGTCGCGGGCTCTGCGGGCGCTGAACGGGGACGGGCGCGCGCTGGTGCCGGAGCAGGGGGTGGGGGTGGGGAGAACTGGCTGGGGTTATCCTGAGGTCCTTTTTTTTTTTTTTTAAACTCCGGGAATAGGCGGTCGTTTGACTAGGGTTTGACCTTAGGTAGCTCGAGGAAGTCTCCAGGATGGCTGGGCCGAGAGCTGCACGCTTTTAAACAATGCTATTAATAGGATTCGTAATAATAATTCGAGAGTTGCAACTGGGAAGAGTAAGATTATGCGCACGATCTGGGCATGCGCAGGGCAACCCACGGCTGTCCATCGGGAAAATGAGCATACCGAATTGGATCGGCTGTAGAGTCCCAGGGTGGTCTACATGGAGGAGGAGGGGAGGAAGAAACGCTGTGCCCTCGATCCTCAGCCACCCCACAGACGGGGATAGTTCCTGGACGTCCCATCGCCCTTCGAAGTGCGTTGGGGACGATGAGTCTCCTGGATTGCTTCTTTCGTTAATCCTGAACCTTTCACACGACCTCTATGTGCGCAAAGGCCGTACGCGGGGAAGGCAAAATTGACAATTCGCAAGGAAATATAGTGGTCACTTGTGCCTTCCTACCGTTCGCCGGGGTGAGTTCCTTTTCGTTACCCAACAAGCAGGGTTTAAATCGGGGTCTTTGGTAAATTATTCAGGTGATTCCCCCCCCCCCCAAACGTCTACATGAAATGGTGACTCGTAAGAGTAGTAACTTTTCATCAGTAGCTTAAATATTTAAAGTGTGGCCAAAAATGGTATCATTTTTTATGAAGAAAGCTGCTTAGACTTTTTTGCAATTACAGCTAGTCCTAAATGACCACAGTTCATTTAACGACTGTTCAAAATTACAACAGCACTGAAAAAAGTGACTTATGACAGTTTTTTCCACATTTACAACCATTGCAGCATCCCCAGGGTCACGTGAACAAAATATGGATGCTTGGCAACGGACACATATTTATGACAGTTGCAGTATCCCAGGTTCATGTGATTACCTTTTGAGACCTTCTGACAAGCAAAGACGAGGAAGCCAGATTCACTTAACAACTGTGGCAAGAAAGGTCCTAAAATGGGGCAAAATCCACTTAACAAATGTTTCACTTAGCAACAAAAATTTTGGGCTCAGTAGCGTCATAAATCGAGAACTATCTATAGTTTTGTTCTGATGAGCTACCTGTTATGCATAATTCTCCATAGTGAATTATTCCTGCATATTGGTGAGGTTCTTTTTATAAGTTGAAACTGAAAATACACTTATTACCAAAATGCCTTTTCACACATTGTTTGCTAGGAAATGTGATAATATGTACCAAGGGTCAAAAGCCATCCTACTATCTCCAATCCAAGGCCATGCAACTACCCCTCATGCACTTCCTATCTTTGGGATAAGTGAGAACATAGGAATTCTCTTAATCATACTTTCCTGAGACCTAGCCTAAATAAATCCAATGGAGTTCAGTGGAATTTACTTCTCACTCAGCATAGGAAACTGCTATAGCACAGGCCAGTCATTCCTTTCAGTGTTGCCTATTTTGACACCCTGCAACTTTGGGCAAAACAGGCAAACGTCTTTTTTTTCTATCAATTACATAAAATTCTTTTAAGTGGAAATGCCAGGGATTTTCTACTTGCTGAGAATGTGCTTTACCTGATCTCTAGTCTATCACCTCCTAATTAACTTATTTAGTACTGGGTCTAAGTTTCATTTGAATGAGGACCATTTAAATTTAAATAAACACACTTATCCAACTTGGTATCCTCTATATGTTTTGGATTGTAATTCCAATAATATCCAGTGAAGTAATGTTGGAGATAAAGTGTATGGAATAGCAGTGTGTGGAAATAGGGTATGTAGTGAAATGGTCTGGGGTGGGTTTTTTGTTGTTGTTGAATATTTCCTATGTGTAGGTCATCACATACTGACATCATCCAATCACATGAACCAATACTAGTTTGGAGTATGAAGATCTGATTGCAGATTATTATATAGCCTTGTAAACCTTACCTTCAGCTAGTCATTGGCTAGTTCACACATCATGCTAATTATAATGTGGTTTGATTGGATTAATTATAATTAAACAAACAGCTTTAGCACCATGACAACTATCAATGTCTCATAGAACAATGGTAAAGATAAAAGTGAGGGAAAGAGCTCTGAGCTCCCTTAGAGGAACAAGAGAATAGCATATAAAACATGATATTATTGGTGCTTTTCTGCCTTTGAGTGATGGGCACTCAAGTGAGTTCAAACTGAATATAAATCAGCTGTGTGATAGGGTTGCAAAAAACAAAAGGAAGATGAAATTTTAGGCTGTATCAACAAAAGTATGTTTTCCAAATCACTTCATTCTTCTTCGGTTACACTCCATCTGAAGTATTGTACACTACACTTTAAGAAGATTCAGAGAAATTGGAAAGATTCAAAGAAGGGCAACAAGGGTGATTAGACTAGAAAACTAGATACTAAGTCATGTGAAGAAAGACAGGAGATGAGCATGTTTAGCCTGGAAAAATATGACTTAGGGGACATATGATAGCATTCTTAAAATTACTTGTCTGCCACAGAAAAAAAAGATCAAATTTTATTGTCTCTTATTCCAGAGTTCAGAACAAGGAATAATAGAATGGAACTACAGGAAAGCAGATACTGAATTCTAGAAGAAATAGCCCTAATAATCAGTGCAATTTATTGTTGAAACCCAATTATTGACAGAAGTGGTAGGCTTCATTTGCTAGATGTGTACTAACATTGGCTAGATAGCCCTATGCCTGGCATCATGAAATCCAGCTGAGTGACCTTGGGCCAGTCAATCTCTCTCAGTCCAATTCACCTCACAGGATTGCTGTTGTGGAGAATATAGGAGGAAGAAGGGGACTAAATCACTAGACTACTAAGTGAAATGTACATTGCTTGTGTAAATGTGTATAAGAAAATGTTATGTACTTAGAAAATCCTAAAATTAAGAGAGGGTTTTCCTGTGCAAAGAAATGGCAGTTGAAAGAAGTTTTCCAACTCTTGTGGTAAATTAGGAATTTGAGTAAAAAGCAAATGCAGTCATCCTCTCAGTAGATTCAATGCTAGGCAATCGATGAAACATTGAATACTAGGAGTCCTTTTATTTAAGGAAATCAGGTTATATGGATGCACACAGGAGCATGTTCAATGGCTTCAGGAAAAGGAGACCCAGATAACAGTAAATCTAAAAGGAGGAATTACACTGCTTGCAACAGAATGAAAAATAAAATGTTTATAAACTTGAATCCTTGAGTTGAGAACTATGCCACAGTGATCTTCTTTTAAACTTTATTGATCTCCAAAAACAAATTTAAAAGATAAACTGACAAGAAAGAAAAATTTTATGAATGAAAAAAAAAAAGATAAAGAAAGAAAAAAGAGGTGCAAAAAGACAAGAAAAAATGACTCTTGACTTTCTTTGGAACAGATATGAATTAAAAAAAAAATGACTCTTGACTTTCTTTGGAACAGATATGAATTAAAAAAAAGTACACCGAACTCTTACTCTAAGGTTAACATTTATCTATATTATTTCTATAGTCCCATATATGTCTCATCAAATCCTAAAATTAACACTTCATTTTTTAAAGTTTCTTGTTAAAAATCCAAAAGCGATTTCCCAGTAGAAACAAAATTATTCCAGATCTTTTCCTTAATCAAAGCTGTCAGTTTTGCCATCTCTGCCTATTCCATCGGCTTCACCATCCATTTTTCCATTTTAGATATTAGTAGATCCTTCCACCTTTGTGGATATAAAAGTCTCACTTCTGTTATCATACATAAAAGCAAGGTTCGATAAGATTTGTTTGTCCATTAAGCCCAAAAGTCTCTGGACCATATGTTATTGAATGATCTTATATATATATATCTGTTTAAATCTGCATCAAACTTAGTGAGAAGGCTTGAGTTTTGAGGAATTTACTTTCAGTTTGAACTACTGTAGTGCTTTGTCAAGCAGCTGCTTATTTGTGCAATTTGTTCAGAGACATGTTTCTTGAAATAAACAAAGCATACTAGATTTGAAAAGATTTTAAGCACTGAAGATTAGAGAGGTTTACTATTGTTTTTCCTTTCTGGGTTTTCTTTGCAAACATTATTTTCCCTACTTACTTATCTTTTGATACTTGTCACAAACAGCTGATTTCATTAAAGCAGTTGTTTGCTGAGTCAATAAAACCACTTCCCACTCATCTCCCACCCGATTTAGTCACTATTACTCTGGAAAAGAAATTATAGAACTGTTACTGTATGGACTTCTTACACTTCTTGTAAAAATATTGTAGCCGTCTGTTTGGCTTTGAGCCAACCAGTCCTGTGTGGTTATGTCTGCCCAACCTAATATTTCAAAACTCTTTATCTATAATCCCTAATCATGCTAAGCAATGACTTGCTTAAATCATGTTTTTATGCAATGTCTTGCTTAAGTCATGTTTTTATTGACCAAATTACCCATTTGGTTGGGTTCATATGTTAAATAAAATAAAATAAAAATTAAATTAAAAACCAGGTAAAGACATTCTGACTTAACATAATGTGTGAAAACAATCACACTAATAAGAAATCTGATGAAAATCTCATAACAGTTTATTTTTTGACTAATATTATATCAAGTGTTTTTTTTCTGCATTTGAAACTACCAAAAATGACCTCTAACCGTAAGCCCCAAATCTTTCATTGTAGCTTAGTGAATTGTATGAATCAGGTCTTAAAAGCTACCATGTTTAAGTATGGCAAACACTGCCAGTATATCCTAATGGGGTATAACCTAACTAAAGAGGTT